TGCAATTAGATTCAGTCATAAAAAAAACCGCACCCTCGTGTCACCAAATTAAAAAAACAAACACGAAAATCGTTAGAAAAAAACGTTACGTGTGTGGAATTAAAAGGAACAAGTAACAGATCAAAAGTCCCCCTCCGCCTCTGGTCCGACACCCGTAATGCTAGAAGGACAAACTCACACAGTCGACCTCTCTGTACTTCGTCTTCCGTGTAGAAAAACACTGATTTTCAATGGGAAGAAAAAGAAGTAGCTGTCACTGGAGTCGTCGGTCTCTAGCAACCCATTGGTAGAAATAATATGTCCAATGAACCCTAAGCATTAGGCCCGACAGTAGCGGTTAAGGTCTTTGCAAATATGTAGGCAGCTGAGTAATGAGAATTCTACAGTTTTGTTAATTGATAACTACTGAACTGAAATTGTATGGTAAACGTTAAGAGGGTTAGGAGTGTTCGTAAAAAAAAAAAGTATAGCCTAATTTCACTCACCCACACTACTGTCAGTACTGAGACGCTATCCAAAATGATTAGTTCGTGAAAGTTTTTCAAGGGCGAGGAAACAGAAGTAAATTTAAAGGGCGTTTGTTTATGGAAGCAATTTAACCTATTAGGCCAGCGGAACATAAACTCAATACTCGGGGGTATTCGGGTATTAAAAATGGTCCACTGCCTAGACACCAAATGACACTTCTCCATTTCCCCTCTAAAGGTCCGGAAGGTTTTCTCTAAGTATTTGGAGGGACGATGTTCCAGTCATTCAAGCAAGCCCGAAGCTCACTAAACTGGTCTGCTTGCACTGAGTTATATATGCCGATTCACGCGTCGTATAGCGCGATGTTAGATCCCCACAGATGGTCTAACGCTCAGGCGAGATCAGTCAGTTCAAACTTATGTGAGAAGTGACACAGCATTGGACTGCACTTTGTTTATAGGGTGCTAGTAGATAGTTAAGTATTCTTCCGGGGCTGATTTAGGTTAGTTGGCCAATGGCAAATGAAGCCTGAACTGGCCATGACCCCTAGGTCAATTAGCCTGACTTCCGCGGACAGGTAGGAGCAAACCAATTATGCTCACGTCAGCGTCAATCCTCTATCTTGTGTGAGATGCATAGGCCTAATAAAACGTCACCCCTCGGTTAATTGCCGAGTCATTTCTAATGCCAATAAACTAGCGCGTCGTTAAACTGTAGAACTGCCCGCTTGTTGGACAATCTACCTTCTGACACATAAAAGACTATTCAAACCTGGCTCGCACTGTCGTCCAAAAATTGCTCCTGCAACAAAAAAAGTCGGGAACCTACCTCGACAGGGATCGTTTTTGGCGAGATACTCCGTCAGAGGTACCCAGCCGCCACCGACCCGAACCATGACGTTGCTGTGGAGGAAGCGAACGAGTCGAAGCTTCTGGGAATCGCCAAACTGCCGGAGGCGAAAGAGGAGGAAGTATAAAGTAAATCAGCCCAATAACAGAGTGTGCCACAAAGGAAAGCTAAAGACAAAAATATCCTCGAAACAAAACCCCCATACGACTAACTAGAAGATGATTAAAGTCAGAGATAAGGCCACATACACAAGCTGCAATGTGTCACAAACCTACAATGTCACTCCTTCTGAACAGATTGATAACCGAGTCACCTGTATCTATAATTCCTTCTTCTGAACAGCAAAAAATTTAAGTTCAAAGATGACACTCATATAAGGATTTAATAAGTCACGTTTGGCAAACTTGCGTTTTCAATTATCCACCACCACGCCCTTACAGTA